GCGTTTTCAAATTCCTCCGGGGTAGTGTGGACGGAAATCAGCGTTTTCAAATTCCTCCGGGGTAGTGTGGACGGAAAACAGCGTTTTCAAATTCCTCCGGCGTAGTGTGGACGGAAAACAGCGTTTTCAAATTCTTTCGGCGTAGTGTGGATGGGGCACCAAACTTCCAAGTCACGCGCATGACAGTGGCAGACAGTTAATGGTCTCAGCCGAGAGCAGTTAAAAATAGCCAAAACATGTTTTTATTATTTCATCAAGCCTACAAGAGTAAAAATGTCATACAAAAGCGTTTACTTTAAAACTCCATTGACTGATCTCTGTGGGTACGAACGGTTCCTAACTGGTTTAAATACGTATTGTCGGCTGACTAGTCAATCCTGTTATGTACAAGTTTTACAGGTTTCTGTTGATTGACAGATTACAACTGACGTGGCAGTTAGCGACTACATAGTTATTGATTATTCGGTACAAAACTCCAACAGTGACTTGCATTAACGAAAAAATTATCTCCATCCCCAAAATAACATCATGATCACGAAATTCTCACTTCATTCAAACTCTTAAACCTCTGCTTGTGATGCATTCAAAGAAAAAAAAAACAAAAGAAACTACTGAAACCACGTGCGTTATTCTCACTTCATCTCAGTAAATCTGTTGATGAAAAAAAAAGAAGAAAAAGACACACGTAAGTCAAAAAGGAAACTTCACCTGGGGAAGAAAGTTTGGTCGCGGATGAGAAGGTAGCCTGCAGAACAGGCGTTATTTTGGAACGGAACGCTCGATAAACCAGGTTCCCGATGCCGCCATCTTGGATTGTAATTGAATGCTAAACCGATAGAGGAATGGGGCTCACCTACTCCCTCGGCAAATTTTCCCTCGCCCCAACCCTCCACAGTCACCAAATCCAAGATGGTGGACTAATACTCGAGCGCCAAAAATACGCCTACCGAGCAGGCTTGTGGGAAGGCCAAGAAACTAAAAGCAAATTCGTACCTTCCCTCCCAACCTTAGTCGCTGTTTGGAGCCAGTTCCTCCCAGCGTCGTTCAAAGAATTGGAAAAGTCGTTTGCCAGCTTGACCAACCTAAAGAAATAAAAGAGAAACATTTGATCGTTAACGTATTAATCAAATGGACTTAAGTGTATCGAGGAATTTATCCAGCATTGAGCGGCGATGGCCACAGCTCCACTGCAAGTCACGTGACTCACCTCCGAGTCATCCTCGTTAAATTCTTCACAGTTTAAGAAAACTGTTCGTGCGTCATCCACAAAATCAGCGGGTCCTGGATACCTGTTGATAAGATTAGCCCGTGATTACAACTTCTAAAATATTTCAGCAGCATTTGAACAGTGGAGGAGGCAGCGTGACCGAGTGGTTAGGGCGACGGACTTGTAATCCGAAGGTCGCGGGTCCAAGTCCCTCTCTGACCACTAAGCTGGAGTTGTTTCTTGGTAGACCCCAGTTCAACTCCTCGGTCATATTGGTAAATAGCCAACTGGTCCGCCTCCCATCAGTTGAAATTTTAAGCATCTTATACTTAGTTGATATATTTGTTTCTTTCAGTTTAAGTGGCATGCTTGTGAACTAGCTAGGTGTAGCTAAGCACACTGACCGCTTTACACAGTCCACATTAAACAATAATGAAGAAATATGACCCATCTTGCTAAATCCGTCTCAATGTAGTTCCCTTTTGGTTTGGTTTGGTTTAAATTCATGTTTGGCGTTTTTGAACCCGGAAAAAACGTCACTTACGTTTTCTTCGATTTGAAGGAAATTCTAAACAATGCAGAAAGGGCCATACATAACACTTACTGACAGTCACGAAGCTTTATCTTCATTGTGTGGAAATCCATTGGTCTCCTTATTATCTTGTAATACTCTGGAAACTAAAGTAACACAAAGAGCATGTCAATTACTAGCGGCTTCAAAGATGTTAACGTGAGAATCTAAATACGATACAAAGAAGTCGATACAAAGACTGTGCTCTTAAGATTTTGGGCAAAAGCAGACGAACATACATTATTCCCTGTCTTTATTACTCTCTCCTTCTCTTCCCGCCCCTCCATTGTGAACAGTCTTCATTTTTTTCCCGACAAACTGCAATACTTGCTCGTGAAGCCGCCATATTGACTCACGCACTCATCCATCTCGTACCCAGTTCCTTGAGTATTTTCGTCATGGTATTCAAAATGGCGGCTCCCCTATCTGAGAAAATAGAGGGACGGCCAGTATACTCTCCCTCCCCTCTCCCTCTCTCCGCCGTCCACGAGTAAATTGAAATCAAGGGCTAACTTTTGACAAACAACTAGAAAACGCCTGATCATGGCTCTCACTTGTTTAGGGTTAACCGGAACCAGGAACGGCCAAGCATCCTCATGTTTCTCCATTTCCGCTAAGATCATGCGGCACGGTGCCATGTCTTTGGAAGCCTGTTTCCGGTTAGCATGTGGGCGTACTTCTTCCTTAGGGGGAGGGGTGAGAGGCCGGCTGTCGTCATTTTCGTCATCCTCTTCTTTGAACTTCCGCTTCCGGCGTGGCTTGCTTCGCTTCTACGGTTACAACAATACGATCAAATTTTACCGAGCGGAAATTATTCAAGTTCGTCCTTTGTACTTCACTGTCAGTTTTTCCCCAGGAGAGCAGGGTTATATGAGCCTAAACTCGGCACCAAGAAAGAATAAAGAACTACAAGTACACAGATTTAAGAACAACATTAAACTTACTCTTTTACAGTTTGGACAGGTCCATGATGCTCTCGGAACCCTACAAAGATAAGTTCATTAGGTAAGCAAAGAAAACAAACGGCTTAAGAAAGATCAAAACGTTTCCAGTTACCTTGTGCCTCTGTTTCAAAACGAGTCCGCGTAGAAAACCCTTCATATGAAAATGAGTTTGATTTGCATGAAAATGAACCTCTAGGCGGAACACATTTTCATCTGAATGGTTTCACACAGAGGTAAAAGGCAACACAGAGGTAAAAGGCAACGCGAAAATGGCCTATTGTTTCTTAACAGCAATCCGTACTTGCTAAGTGGCGGTTCAAGACACTGCAAGTGAAAGTTCCTTGGGCAGTTGTCACATTTGGCCATCTTGCCTGTTGCTCCGCCACACATACAGCAATTGTCACCCCCAGCGGCCTGAAATGACATCAGACAAATACAATGTGACCACCGAGACAAAATCCAACTCGTCAACACTAGAAACTACGTTGAAGAAATAAGTGACGCTAGAAACTGCTTACACGTTCGCCCACGGGTTATGAAAACCTTATTTCATCTTACTTTATCAACGCACTACCAAGAAGCCAGGTTAGGAGAATACATGAGATAATCAACAAGGGAATGTTAACTGGCTTGATGTAACGCGCATACTCACCAGAACAATGCAGTCAGTGCAGTACCAGTCTCCCTCGGGTATCGACAACAGCTTGGGCTGTGGACAAACACAATGCAATTAATTGGAAACAGTCGTGGAGTCCACACAACATTAAACACTTCAAACTCAAACCAAATAACTATGAAATGACTGCAAAGAAAACAATATCTTGAAGGAATACCATGCTGCTATATGATTGTTGCAAGATGTCAAAGGAACTACGCTAAACTTCAAAAGTTTCAAAATTCTAAAAACAGAGAAGTCTACTATTTAAATTCTTAGCTTGAATGCTGTCACGCGACTCACCATGCAGCAGTACGTATGATAGCCTCTGTCACAGCCATCACACAGCAAAAGTAACTCCTCATTATCACCTTTGCGGCAAATCTGGCAGAACTTGAGGGAAAGTTGAAAAAAAAAAAGTTAAACAAGACACAAATTTGTTTGTATAGTTTCACTCTGCAGGCCTTGCTGCCTGGAAAGTATCATCAGTTTTCTCAAGTGCTGTTCTCCAAACCCACTACTCTCCAAC